TGTCTAGGCATCAATAGTACCCGCATGTGCAGATCGCATGGAGCTTCGAGTAGTATGCTTACGAAACTAAATCAAGGACTTTTCTAGCGTTAGGCAGTCTTGTGTGGGCAAAGATTTCAAATTAGAACGAGAAGAAACTTTGTTTATCAATAACAAAAATGCGATTTTATAGGCATCTTTTACGATAAGTATTTTTCTTGGCCTGGGAGGTCAACGTATTATCACTTAGCGACATATCGGTGTTAATTACATGACATTTTGGGTCAAGAAATTTAGCATATTTTGAACTAGACGCTCTTATTAGACCGTGAGTTCGGCTATTTTGGGAAAAAAATAAGAAATATATTTTTTTACTGTCTTAAACAGCTAGTCCGACTTCACGGTCTAATAAGAGCGTCTAGTTACTTCTCATTTCGATTCTTTGTTATGCGATCGCACAAAGTTCTTGGATGCAATTTTGCATTAATCAACTGAAGTTTGAAAACGAAAAATAAAATAGAAAATCCAATAATGCATTGAATAACGAACTATTCGGGGGCGCGCTTCATGCCTTTTGATTGTAATATTACACCAAAGTCGGACACTTCGTATTTCTTAATAGCTATTTCGTTCTATATGCCAATTAAGGTACTTGTACCCAGTCTCCCACAGTATGAAATCTGCCAATGGGACTCTGGTTCAACCATTAGGATATAAAACTCCTCTAGTGTGTTTTTTTTTTCTCTTTGTCCTCTCCGTATTCTTCTATGGATCTTTGGGTAGAAACGCCTGTTTTTCAGACTACGGTTTTGAAAAGTGCGTTTACCCATAGATTGTACGTTTTAACCAAAAAAGGAAATCTTTGATAAGGCATCTTCGTGATGTAARATTTCACCCATTTTGTTYCAGTGTTGARCCATGATTCCAGTTGACCAKCTGAATCRTTTCCAAGCAACCAACCCACTCTACAAACTAGTCAAGCCTTGGTGGGATGTATTAACTGACTATCTGGTCGCAGCCATGTTGGCAGTGGCCRTCCTAGCAGGAGCAYTGSAAGCTACACAGAGCGACYTGATCTGCGTCCCTGCTGTTCCCTGTACGTATAGCCTTAATCAGAGTTTGCCTGCTAATGCCACAGAAACCAGAGGATTTTGTAAAGGTAATCACGAAAATCATATATAGAAAGGCTATTTATTATATAGATACTGAGATTTTCTCACATATAATCCGTTTCAAAATATAAACTAGCCAATAATAGGAGCGAAACGAATTTCTCATCCGTGCGAAAAGCGTTTCTATCTATAAATACCTATATTTCTCCATTATATGTAAAGTTGTTATTTTCACACATTTGAGGTTTCTCTATATAGTGGAAGTAAAAAAATAGCTACTTCACGACATAATTTACTTTCATATGTAATTATATGATAAACAGATTATTACATGGTTCCTCGGAGATACGAATTTTATCTGAGTTCTCGGGTAGGAAATCTTTCTCTACGCTCACTCGTGAGAGATCTTTTCAACACTCGAAGATAAAATCCGTATCTCCGGGGGGCATGTAATATCCATAATTTCTATGTATCTAGGCAACAAGTCGACAATGCTGCTGAAATTACCAGACAGACGGCTGTACGATTACGTTGCGACAGAGTGCGGGCGAACGGCGGTTCAATGGTTTGCTTCTTTCTTTCCGTTTATAGTTTTCCTTCAGTCTATTGTCCTCATAGTTGTTCAAAACGTTTGGTTAAAAATACCGCATACGTCATCAACTATAGAGAATTTTGTAACATTGGTCATTGAATGTCATAATACCAAAGGAACATGCTTAGCTGTGTCTGACGTTCTGTGGAGAACAAAAATATCTGAAAAAACCAGATCAACAAAAATATCTGAAAAGACCAGTGTCAGAGGAGGCACAGTGGAATTCAAAGAAGATATAGAGCAACCATCCAATGACGGCAAATCGAACGAGAATAAATCGAGTACTGAATCCCTCGATGTGTCCGAAGCTATCAAAGCGAAGGCATTATACGAAAAAGTTGGCCAGTTCAGAAAAGATGTCGAAAAAAAGCAACATATCTTTCGGATATACTCTGTACAAGCAACTTTGCAATTGGGACTGTCCATCATTATTCTTGTTTTAAACGCTTATTACCACAACGAGCTGAARAATACTGTGAATTGTACGATAGACTATGTCATAAGCAAAGACTACAGCGATTTTGTGTGCACCAACGGTGTTATTCTATATTTTGAAGGTATAAATATAACATTTTGCATTCTGGTTGCATYATATTCTATAGTGTGCATTTACATTTGTACCTGGACATATTTAAGAAGAGGTAAAGAATACAATTTTAAGCAAAATCTTACACCAGAAAGTGAAAGTGACCACGCCAAACAAGAAGACACCGATCTATTCAAGTCATTGAGTGACATTATTCCCGCAAAAGCAAACCTAGCTTTCATGCTTTACCTACTTAGTTATTGCAATAAACTGTATACGCTAAGATTCAGTGTATTTTTATCTAAGAAGAAMGAAAAACAGATAAAAGATCATATATTGATATGTGAATGGCCCGTCGAAAGGTTAAAASAATYAGCTAGAGAYGRTGGTAAAACTTTGACGTTACCTAAACTGAGTGGTATCCCGAAAACAGTCTTCAAAATGAAAGAYCTYCAAACCCTCATACTAAAGGACTGTCAATTGGGAAATGATTTAGATGATAAAGACAAAGGCTGGGRGAAGCTCAAGYTAAAGTCATTAKCGCTARWAAATTGTSGMTTGACCACAATTCCGACCGTTATTTTAAAAATGGAATATTTAGAAACGYTAGATCTGTCTGACAACAACATAACTTGTATTCCTGCTGAAATCGAGAGTCTCCGATCATTGCACACTTTGAATGTTTCAAGAAACAATATTACTCGTGGTTTTAACTATCTCATACAGATGGAAAAGCTTATGGAATTGAATCTACRAGGAAACAACTCTTTACAGCTGACTTTGTCTCCAGATAAAACGATAAATATAGTGAAATTAGAAGTCGACGAAGAAATTRTGAAGAAAATGGACGATGTAACTCGAAATCTGATTAAGGACATCACTGTATCATCAGAGCAGGACATCTTTGTAATAAAGTATTTGCCAGTACACGCTCCTCCTGAAATCGAAAGTATGAGAAAAAACAGATCTGGAGATGTCTACAAAATGACTTCGAATCCGAAAGGTGTGGCTTTAATAATAATAAATAATAACATTTTCATTGATCGTGATTCTGAAATAAACCGAGTAGAAAAAAGCATGAAAAAACTTTTTAAATTGTTCCAAAACATTGGCTATGATGTCGAAGAATTTTCAGAGCGCTCAATAAATCAAGAGCTCTTTTCAGAGATTGCTACTTTGTTCAAGAAATACTCGCATTTGGATTCTGCGGTATTGATAATCATGACTACTAGCAAAGAATTGCAGACAATAAAGGAAATTGCCAAATGTATGCATGGCAGTCTGCAAGGAAAACCAAAGCTTATTTTCATCCTCAAACACGGCAAGTTTCAGTCACACAAGGAGGACTTAACCAGTTTGGAAACAGAATGCCCCGATACAGCTGTTGCCTATTTGGAATCGGCTGGTAGATACATTACTGAAAGTTTGGTCGACCCTGAGGTCTCTTTCATCAATGCTCTGGTTGATGTGTTTTCAAATCATGCCTGGAAAGAAGATGTTGAATCGCTACTGAATCGTCTAAAGTCTGAATCCAAGAAAAATTTAGATGGGAAAACCGTCTCGTTTTCTTGTAAACTGAGCCTTGTTAAGAAGTTCTACTTTTACCCAGGGTACTTTCCAGAAAATGATCAAACCAGAAACAATCAGCATCGCAAAGAAACATCAGCATAACGGGAATTATAGCAAGCATGGACACGATATGGTCACTTACAATCATGTAAACGTAATACCCGTTAAAACTGGCGGGTTTTGCAGCGCTTTTTGTGGTCACTTTGATGCAAGAGAATTATATGTTAAAGAATTAACCTGTAAACTTTTATTCAATACACTGAGATGAGCTAACAAAAGTCTCCTCAAAATAATAGGACAAAATCTATTGCATTTTTTAAATATCGCCCCAAAAATTGCAGCAAAAATCGCCAGTGTTAACGGGCCTGTAGACTAAACGCAAATATTGAAATTATACTAACCTCTTTGTGCTATTTTCTGTAATGGTGCTTAATCAAAGTAAGTTCGGCTCCAGTTGCAGATTTAGTGCAGTTTTCTTGTTTTTATTTTGTGATTAAATGTGGTCAATATTCCTGCATGTTGATCTCTAAATCGAAGAAAAAGAAAAATGTTTGTAAAAAGGGAATAACGAACTAGAGTGATTTCTTGAAATGGAAGCAGGCAATCAGCGCCGGCCAAGCGAACATGCTCAACTTGTTAATGGGCCATGGTCCACCAGCATTCAATGCGGTCGTGTTTTAGATTTTTCATACATGGAAAATGAGGTGACTTCAAATATCCATTCGCAATCCGTTTCCATCCATCGGTTTAAAGATCGAATCTTACAGTATCTCCATTCATATAGTTTAAAGGGATAATAAAGAGTAAGTTTTTGCTTATATCACGATGTATTTTTATTTTCAAACATGAGCAAAAGCTCGAAAGGGATGCTGGTGGACCATGTCTGCAAAAACATGCCTTACTGAGCTTAATAATGTATCAAAAACTCTGAAACTTCTTTCGAGTTTGTTTATTGGTGTGAAGTGTAATTTAACCAGTTTGTTTGCTCATTTCTCAAGATGCAGGTGTAGGGTTTTCCCAGTTGCATGATTATAGCTGTTCGGTTCATTGTACTGACGATAACAAGTTGCATGCAGACGGTAATAAAGTTAAATTATCCTCATCATTAGTTATTATTATTATTATTATAGTGTGTACTTTGATAGGCTCTTGATATGGGAGTAGGCTGTAGGCTGTATCGTATTTTTCTTATATTATTATATAAAGCTTTTTTCTCAAATTCTATCTTCATATATTGTAAATAATTAACAAATAAATAAGGCTCAGCCGTGGTTTATACTCTGATAAACGCACGCTTGTTATTTGAAACACACGAGAAAATGTCAAGAACCACGAGCTGAAAGATATAGATTTTGATTTTGAGGAAAACTTAAGCAAAAATCCATTTTGTTGCCGTTTTCAAAAATCGCTCGTGCACAATCGTGGTTTATACTCTCATCAACCACACTTTTTTGGCCAATCAGAGCGCGCGTTAGAAATCATCTATATAATAAAATGTAATGATTCAATTGTTGGGCTGCGAAGATTTATGTATGGACTTAATATTTTGTTGATGGTTTCAACAAAGAGAAGTTCGTCTTTGATATTGTATCACAGTTCACTGAAAAGCTGTTTGGCGTCCCTCGTGGCAGCATTCAATCTTGTTTTGATTTTGAAATGGAAATGTACTAAGCCCCATAAAACCTATTTTGTCCACGATCAATGGTGACCAATGGTCAACGTACACGCTGTTACATAAAAACCCAAAAAAACAAAATACAACAAAAGTCACTATGACAACCTGGATATGCCACTGTTGAGTCTAGAATCGAAATTTGGGGCCTGGTTCTATTATTATTTACAAAATTTCCTTATTGAGTTTGAGAAAAGTTGCTTGTAGAATCTTCGACACTAGATAATTAATAGTAGTATAAACGTCAATGAAAACCAGGTAATCTCCCGCGCGAAAAAGTTATNAATAATGGTTTCGTTATCAAATATTTGCCAGAAAGAGCTCCTCAAATCGAAGATATGAGAAAAAGCAATAAAATCTATAAAATAACTTCACAACAGAAAGGCTTGGTTGTAATTCTCGATATGATGGCCGAAAATGTGCACCAAGAAGTGAAGAGAGTATTCGAAGAAATTGGTTATACAGTCAAAGAGGTGTCAGTAGATAGCTTCAGGTCAATTGAGGAGCTCAAGAAAAGTCTAAGAGACTGTTTTCTCGACTGCAAAAATTATGATTCTGCTATCTTGATAATGACGGGTAAGAAGGGAAATGTAGACGGATTCTATGTTGGGGACAAGCTACTGGACATAGTCCAAATTGACAAATGTATTCGAAATAACAGTCTAAAATTAAAGCCAAAGCTTGTATTCTTGCAAGTAGATTCACCGCGAAAAGACCCTAATTATATTTCCAGGCCACCGAGAGATTTCACATATCCCGATACATTTATTGCTTGTACAGTCTGCTATGGATTTCAAGGTGCTAACCAGTTCTTCGAAACATTGGTTGAAGTGTTTTCGAATTATGCTTGGGAAGAAGATTTGCTTAGTCTCATGACAAGTGTTAAGTATGAATTGTCTCGTAAATTCCGAGACAAAGAATACGAACACTCCTATCTTCCCAAGGTTGGTGGTCTCAAGAAGAAATTGTACTTTTTCCCAGGGTACCATGACAATAGCGAGACTACCGCTTTATGATTAAGCAGTGGCAATGGGGCTGCCAAGTGTGCTATACTTTACACACATAGTTTACTTCAGGCAATTGTGGTGGTTACGAGTTCACTTTGGATATCATTGGGTAACTTAATTATCTTGAATCTTGAAATTCGGGCATGTTGCAATATTAACATCGATTGTATAGGTCAATATTTCATTTACTTAACTAATAGGTTATTTGAAAATATGGAGATATTAGTTCTAATTAGTTTATTTCTGTTGCTAATAGCTTCGAAGCTATGAAGCGAATTTATTTATTTCTAAAATAAAATCAATATAAAGAGAATAACAGCTTGGCAAAAAGTGCCACTGGATGCAAGAGAAAAGTTGAGAAAAATAGAGTTAAAATCCATTATGCTAATTTGATGATGTCACGTGCACATTGATAATACAATTTTTTTTCACCGTATTGTTTTGTAAGAAATATTTTTGGGGTTACCAAAAACAATCTTTCACAGTTTTTTTTCACAGTTTCCTTTCACAGTAAATTCAAGAGCACCTGTACAAAAAAAACACAGCTTAAATTTGATAGAGCACATCCTGCATTGACGTCATAAATTAGCATAATAGATTTTTAACTCCAATTTTCCCTTAAAATTTGAAACCGGCATCCAGTGGTGTTTTTCAAATTTAAAAAAAAAATCGCTTCATAAGCACTTTAAACATAAGATTATTACTATAATTAACTGCTCTAGTTTATACTTAACTGTCAAATAATTATTCTTAAAATGTTATAACAATGTATATAGGAAAATTTATTTAGTATCGAACTATCTCTTTAAAATGATTTGTAGGACTTTACGCTAGAAGTAAATAATATCTTTTTAAAAAGTTTTTTT